CCAAAGAACTAGTTTTTTCAGCTACAACTTGTTGTGCTTCTTTCATCTGTGAATGGTATTTTTCTAAACAAGATAACGTTAAAAATACATAAAGATATCGATATAAAATAATTAATAGTTTTTTAAATAAATCTTTTACCGAGATGAAGTTTTAAGTCAGCTGCAGATTGAGCGCTCTCAATAGCTTTACGTTTATGCATTTCCATTGCCTGTTGTCTCAAAGCTAATTCTTTTTCAACAGTAGCAAGCGAATTTTGTAAGAGGCGCTCTTTTTCTTCTAATTTACGAACGACGACGTTTGCAGCTTCAACTTGTGTTGTTAAAGTAGAAACTTGTTCTTTTAAAACGTCTTTCTCTTCTCGAGCCAATTTATGTAATTGATTACTTTTGATCCTTTCTGTCATAAGCTTAAAATTCGCGTCATCTTTTTCACGTAATTGTTGAATTAGTCTAGAATTCTGTTCTTGCATATCTTCAAAAGCTTGTCCAGTTACTTCCATTTCATTTAAAAGAGCTTCCTCCTCCTGAAACCACACACAATTCTGTTTAGCATTACCAATAGTTCACAATTTTAAATAAGATTCATGTTTTATAAAATTTATCAAATATATAAAGTTACCTGCTTTTGCGAAGCAACTTGACGCTGTAGAGTGTATGCTTGTTCTTCTAATTTTTTAATTTTTATTTGTGCATCTTCATCTGCCAACTTCTTACGTTCTTCTCGTTTACTTTCCTAAAGATAATAAACTTATTATTAAAATCTTTAAAAATAAGAGATTCTTAATTAAAAGTTTATTTATAAATATGTACTTGAATTTTCTTTATCTGTTGGCGTAATTCATCCAATTCTGCCCTTGTTTTTCGTTCAGCTGCCATTAGTTGTACTTTGTCTCTTTGTTCTTTTCCGACACCTTTGTACATATCTAATAATAATTTCATTTCTTTCATTTCATTCACAGCCTTTCTACAATTAAAGCAATCAAGTGGAGATAATGAATAAATATAAATTAATAATTAATATAAGTATGTATATAGGACATACTTAAGTTGTGCTTTTAGATCTCTAACTAGTTCTGATTCCGCTACTTTCGTATCTTTGGCACGATGAGCAGGATCGCGATGTTCAGTTTTAATCGCTTCTTTCTTTATATCTTTTTCACGTTTAATGTCCTTCTCTTTCTTTAAAGTTGGAGAAGTTAAGGTTAAAGAATCCGGAGTGCCTTTATTTCCTTCTCCTTCTCCAACTTCGATAGTTTCTACTTCTTCTTCTCCAGATTCTCTTTTTATTGAAACTCCACTTTCTTCCTTTATCTATATTAATGCAAACATTTATCATCTATATATTTAAAAAATCATTTTTATAATATACTGTAAGAATATACACTCATTTAAGTAATCTATTATACCTGTGTAGAACCTGGAAGAGAATTCGATGCATCTTCTTCTTTTCCACTGCCATCGGAATTATTACCTTCTTTATTTTCCTGAGATGTTTGTTGACCCAATTTAGTTGTCAATTCTTCAATTTCTTTCTTTAACTAATGATAAAGTACGGATATCAACTATACATTTTTTTAATTCTTTTAATTATTCTCTTTAAAAAATTTAATATTAATGATATACATACTTTCGGAATTTCTGATGAAGCTTCTTTATATTTTCGCTTATAACGATGAACTTCACCTTTAAGTTGTTGATTGTGATTTTGCAAAGATGTAATGAGATGTCTCATTTCTCGATTTATCGGTCCTGTTTGTTCGTTTGCCGCTAAATTTTGTTCGAATTCAATTCTTAACATTTCATATTCCTTTCGTAATTGAGCTAAAACATCTTCTAGTTGTATGCATTCTCCTCGTAATTTCTTTTGTGCCATTAATTCTTCACTCTAAAGATATTAATAACTTAATATAACTTTTATATAACTTAATACAAAAAAAAAAAGAAAAAGAAAAGTATATAAAGTATACTTACCTCCATCATTTCAATATGACGTAAATGAGCGTTTTTACTGGACTGCAATTGCTGACGGGCGTCATCTAATTGAGTTTTTAATTGCATCGATTCATTGTATAGTACAGAGAATTGTGATTGCAAACATTTATATTCTGTTGTCTCAACAATTACGGATTCAGGAAGTTGTCGTATCTGCAAATATAAAATATTTTTCAAAATAAAACCAATATTTGAACATAATATCAAAATAGTCTTTCCATTTGAATTTTTTACGTGTACTTTATTCGAATATAAAGAAGTAAAACACAAGAAACCAGCGAAAGCAAATACAACATGAGTATTTATTGCACAGGATATTAATTTACATTCTATACTGAGCGCTATAAAAATGCGTACAAAAACCAAAGAACTCACATCCATTTTTAATTTTTCTACTTCTTTCAATGCATCGCGATGTTGTTGATGCAGTTTATCTAATTCTTGTAACCTGTTATTAGCTAGCTCTCTGGTTTCTTCCAATTCTCTTTGCAAATCTTCGAGCTATAACAACGCAAAAATTAAATATACTGACTTTAATTGAACATCAGTATACAACAAAATATAATAGTTATTCATTGTAAAGCATATTATACCTTTGTTTGTGATACACTTGATGCAACTAGGGTATTAGGTTTATTACTTCCTTTTTCATCTGAACCATGTATTTGTTGGAATGCTTTTAGTTTCTCAATTGCTTCTCCAAGATGATGTTCCAATTTATCATTGCGTGCTCGTACTTTATTTAGTTCATATTGAAGATCATCCACTTGATTACGAAGTTCTGCAGCAAGTGTATCTTTTCCTGTTATGGTATCTTGTAATTCTGACATCTATGACAAAATAAACTTATTACTACATAATTAAAAATAAAGTTCATTACAATAAATATACTTAGTTTACCTTTAATGATATGGTATGGTATTTTTCATGAAGTTGTATATTTATTGCTTGAAGATTCCTATTTTCCATTTGTATTTCAGCATTTGCTCTACGCACAACTTCATCAATGTTAGGTGCTTCTTCTAAAATGTCATTTTTTATTTTACTATATTATTTTTGTTTTTCAATACATTATTTTTATTTTTATTTTTCAACATATTAAAATAAAGTACCTCCATCAAACTCTCCTTTAAGTGCAAGAGTAATCTTTTCATTTCTTTGAGAGAGACGGTCAAATGCCTGTACAACTTTAGAAACTGCACGTTTGGATACTTGAACACGGTTTGCTAATTTATCATCTAGTTCTTCTTTGTCCCATGATGAAAGCTGCATGAGAAATGATGTTGTAGCTTCACTTTCATCTATAATTATACATTGACACTTTCATTACAAGTTACAGGTATCTAAACATTTAATAAATGTACTTCACTATTTTCTTTTACTTTTATTTTCTGATTCATCAGCTGTTTCAGCATCAAATCTCTGAAGTAATACGCGTATATCTTCATTTAATTGATTCCAATAACGATTAACAACATTAAGCACTGCATCATCTTGCATTTGCCGTTTTTCCAACTGCTCAATTCGTTGCCTTAATTCTGCCTCTACTCTATGACGTTGCTCTAATCTCTAAAAGATCAAAATAACATAATATAAAAATATTAAATATAATTTTTCATTTTAAATTAACAAAAATATGAAAAAGATAACTAACTAAAAAAATCATTTTTTATTTATTATAATTAAATAGTTAGAATTTTTAAAAGATAATGATATAATATTAAAGTATCAAACTATTTACAACAAAAATTTACAATGTTATCTAAACTAATACACTGTTTCTGTTCATCGATTCATCATAAGATGCATTTCATATTAACAATAAGACACAACTAGTTATGGAACAATACTACCACATGCTTACATAATAAATTAACTTTATATATTATTAATGAAGTTTTTTCAAAACAATATATACATTTATAGTAGATAGTTACAAAATAACATACAATATTTGGAATTATAAGAAACAACATTTTAGGTTTTATGAAAAAATTGATATGTTGAAATGTAACATTTCATGGGTAATATTTTTCGAACATTGCAAATTTACACACATTTTTGTAAATGTATAATAACATATTTGAGAACTAACCTGGGCCAATTTTTTATTTTGAAACTGTAAAACTTTCATGTCCATTTCCTCGAGGGTTGAAATAGGTCCGATTAAAATCGGTTCGAATTGAACTTTTTTAATAGGTGGCTGGGAACCAGAATCCCCACTATCTGCAGGTCGCTTTGACATTTTGCCGCAAGCGTTTTTCTCTTTCTGAAAAGCCAAACGTGAAAAATTTTTAAAGCAAGAAGCGAATACTTTGTACCTGATTTATCGTTCACAGCCTCTGAAATTTTGTTATTGATCAAAAGAATTCGTACCTCGAAACGTGTACTAATAACTCCAGCAATCCTCTCAGCAAATACCTTACAGTTTCAATATCACTATGTCATTTTTAGACCTCTAAAACCTGTCGAAAAGAGCACTCTTTCGACAGATCTTTACATTTTAATGAAAACGGTCGACAAAAAGTACGTGCTTATAACGGAAGCCGCCATTGTATCACGGCGTTGCATACGCGGCAAATCAAAAAATAACGCGAAAACATCGACATTCACCGTGGCTACAAACTTCAGGTAGACGAGAAACACAGTTACCACTTACATTCCCATTTCAATTCTTAATTATACTGTAAGTCCATCTGACGTATACTGAGTGAACCAAAAGGATAGATAACATCACTTATTATCATGCCGATTAAAAAAAGAGTGCAAATTAATAGTAACGTAATACCTTATGAATTAATGTATGTAAAAGTTAAATTCATATTTAAATCATACTTTTTTATTTAATCTAAAAATAGTCTATTTAATAATTAATATAAAATACACGATTTATTTCCTTATAGACAGTATGTTTGCATAATGCTTAATATTTAATTTCTCTGTTACAAATGAATTAAAAGAAATCAATTTCTAATAGGTTAAACGTTTCTATAGAAACTGTTCTTGTACTGACTCATCCATATATAGATCAAACCTATGAACCCGCCACTTTAAAAGAACACTATTTCTTTGGCTGCACAACATTTTGCTGATGTACAACAGCAAACCGAAAAATAAAATGCTGAACAATCGCGCACCTGCATTAGTTCCTCCACCTCCACTGAAATTTACATTGCATCAATGGCATCTAAATAATCACCACAGGTATGAATATCCAATTAAAGAAAAAAAATAATATCAAATGTTTCCTATTTCATTAAATTCACTACTAAAAAGAAAAAAATTATACATAAAAATTATTTTTTAAATAAATCAGGTATCGATGTTCGGAAGCACAGCAAGAATTAGCAGATCGATTACTTAATGAATCCCAACGTGTTTGCGAATTAAGTTCTGAGACAGTGCGAAATAATAAGGAAGAAACAGATCATAAATTAAAAGAAAAAATTGAAGATATTGAATTTCATAAGGAGGAACTACTACATATAAGAAAAGATGTTCTTCTTGAAGTTGATGCTTTATCGATGTATAAGGAGCGTATTATGGACGCTCTATCATCTGTGAGAAAAAACGCTCTTGTTATTTGCGAAAAATGCCTCATTTTTAGGTCAGATTTACGAATCCAACACCATAGCTAATAGTGATTTTAATTTTTTATAAAAATAAAATGTTTAAAAATCATTTTAATTACAGAGAACATAGATTAGGAATTGATTTAGTTCACGATGATATTGAAAAAGAATTATTAAAGGAGTGTGAAGTGATTAAAAACGTTGAAAATTTATTAGTTCGAACCCTAGAACAAACTCAAGAACAAATACGTCGGTTAAAAGCAACCCTTTACTACATGGACCACGAACTTGGGGATAAAGAAAATAACTTATGTATCGACAAGCATAATTTATCTTTGAAAGAAACTAGTTTAAATTTAAGCATTTATCATGGCACTTCACGACTTGATCCATCGTAGGTATCACTTCTATTATTTCTTCCATTTTTCTGAACATCAATTTTGTTTAAGTTCATCAAGTTTTATATTAAAAAAAATGTTTTCTATATATTAAGAACTATCGAGTTAAACGAATGGGAAATACAGACTAATAATAATATTATCTCCGCTTCGAAAGAGGTAAATAGCGCTCGACCACTGCGTTGTTATATCGATACAATCATAAAACAAGCGATCGATGATCTAAACGAACAGAAAAATGCTACTGATGATGCTTTTAGAAGTCGCATTGCAGAAACGAAAGAAGCGAAAATCAAATTAGAATTACAGCACTCTGAGGTGCGTGCTATTAAAATAATTAAATGATTTATTTTGCATAATTTATTCAAAAATTATAAAAATGATCGGTAATATATATTTATATATACATGAATATCATAATGTGCTGGCTAATTGAAATGTATGTAAATCGTTGAATTGCTTAGTATAATTATAGTTTATTAAAAAAAATATTTAGAAATATAAAATATTTATATATATATAGGTAATGCGGCAAGCAGCAGAAATGAAACAAAATATTACGCGTATAGAGAAATCAATCGTGGAAAAAGAAAGCTTTTTAGCTTTAGCACATACGAGACTTGGTAATCGTTGTCAAAGACCAGGATTAGAACTTACACGAGATTTGGTCGAAACTAATCTTGTAAAAGAAGTACATGATTTACATGATGTCGTGTCAAAATTACAAGGCACTATGTTCGAGGTTCATGTTTTACGTTTTCTACAATTTATCATTTCGTCATTTAATCGTAGATGATAATGGTAATATAATTGTTCAATCAACATCTATTATTTTAGGCTCAAGCATCATTGCGTTATTTACTGAAAACACAAATTCAAATCGAAGAAGATATCAATGTTAAAACAAATACATTAAAAATTGATGAAGTCGATTGTATGACTCTTCGTCAAAGTATGGATTATCACGTATATTAAATTAATTAAAGTTAAATAATGTTATTGAAATTTATATATAACAAAATATAGCAAACAATGTGAAGCAGTATTTTTTTGTAATTAGAATATTAATTTATTACCTAAATTAGCAACATTATTCTTTACAAAAAATAGAATTATACCAAAATTATCGTACATAAAAAAGAGAATTAAATATTTCTTTATATAACTTGGAATTAGATACATCGGATTTCAACAAGATAAGTAATAATTTATGTCACAGGTATCATATATATATCTTTCTCTAGTTTATCAAATGTACTTTAATAAAGAACTACTATTGGAAGTTCGTGTATTGACGTAGAAAAGAATATAGCTCCCATTGGTTAATACTTATAACCTCCTGCAACTGGCTGGTTGACTATTGCCATTATGTGGTAGTGTTTTATCTAAAAGTAACAGTATTAGTGCGGTTTTCCCCCCTGTTCGCGTCACTTTGTGAATGTGTCAACTTCTGTATTCTTGACAAAAGCTCTCGACGTGAGGCAGTGTAATGACAGATGCATATTGGAAATACGTCCCACACAATTTCATGATTGTGTCTTACGTGTAGGAAATTCAATTTAATCTCACATTATAAAGAAAAATTGTAAGAAATGGCAAGTGACGCAATAATCTTACTACCTGCAGAAATAATTGTGTGCATTTTGGAAGACAAAAGTCTCGACTTTTCTGATGTAGCTAATTTCAGTTTAACATGCAGAAGTTTGTACAAAATTGTCAACGAAAGTAATAAACTTTGGAAGATTAAATTTTTTCAAAGGTATACTATTTGTTACTTTGAACAACAAAAAATTATTGCTAAAATAAAAAATTAAACGACTTATACTCATTGTTAGCCTTAAATGATTAAAATTTTTATATTTATTTAGAGTACCATGACATTTATAATTAATTTTAAATCAAACAAACTTGTTTTATATTATTGATACAAGTAAATGAAACACAAATAGTTATTTTAATTTGAAATATAAATTCTTATATATGTACTATTTATAAATTATGCTTGCAAAGATTATAAGCATAAAATATTTTATAATTTAAACAGTCTTTTTATCAGTGTTTTTATTTTAAGCACTTATAATTTTATTTTATTTTTTTTTGTATGATAGATGGCCACATTTAAAAGAAGTATATCATACAAGCATGGAATTAGAGGACCAAATAAAGTAATGCGGCAAGCAGCAGAAATGAAACAAAATATTACGCGTATAGAGAAATCAATCGTGGAAAAAGAAAGCTTTTTAGCTTTAGCACATACGAGACTTGGTAATCGTTGTCAAAGACCAGGATTAGAACTTACACGAGATTTGGTCGAAACTAATCTTGTAAAAGAAGTACATGATTTACATGATGTCGTGTCAAAATTACAAGGCACTATGTTCGAGGTTCATGTTTTACGTTTTCTACAATTTATCATTTCGTCATTTAATCGTAGATGATAATGGTAATATAATTGTTCAATCAACATCTATTATTTTAGGCTCAAGCATCATTGCGTTATTTACTGAAAACACAAATTCAAATCGAAGAAGATATCAATGTTAAAACAAATACATTAAAAATTGATGAAGTCGATTGTATGACTCTTCGTCAAAGTATGGATTATCACGTATATTAAATTAATTAAAGTTAAATAATGTTATTGAAATTTATATATAACAAAATATAGCAAACAATGTGAAGCAGTATTTTTTTGTAATTAGAATATTAATTTATTACCTAAATTAGCAACATTATTCTTTACAAAAAATAGAATTATACCAAAATTATCGTACATAAAAAAGAGAATTAAATATTTCTTTATATAACTTGGAATTAGATACATCGGATTTCAACAAGATAAGTAATAATTTATGTCACAGGTATCATATATATATCTTTCTCTAGTTTATCAAATGTACTTTAATAAAGAACTACTATTGGAAGTTCGTGTATTGACGTAGAAAAGAATATAGCTCCCATTGGTTAATACTTATAACCTCCTGCAACTGGCTGGTTGACTATTGCCATTATGTGGTAGTGTTTTATCTAAAAGTAACAGTATTAGTGCGGTTTTCCCCCCTGTTCGCGTCACTTTGTGAATGTGTCAACTTCTGTATTCTTGACAAAAGCTCTCGACGTGAGGCAGTGTAATGACAGATGCATATTGGAAATACGTCCCACACAATTTCATGATTGTGTCTTACGTGTAGGAAATTCAATTTAATCTCACATTATAAAGAAAAATTGTAAGAAATGGCAAGTGACGCAATAATCTTACTACCTGCAGAAATAATTGTGTGCATTTTGGAAGACAAAAGTCTCGACTTTTCTGATGTAGCTAATTTCAGTTTAACATGCAGAAGTTTGTACAAAATTGTCAACGAAAGTAATAAACTTTGGAAGATTAAATTTTTTCAAAGGTATACTATTTGTTACTTTGAACAACAAAAAATTATTGCTAAAATAAAAAATTAAACGACTTATACTCATTGTTAGCCTTAAATGATTAAAATTTTTATATTTATTTAGAGTACCATGACATTTATAATTAATTTTAAATCAAACAAACTTGTTTTATATTATTGATACAAGTAAATGAAACACAAATAGTTATTTTAATTTGAAATATAAATTCTTATATATGTACTATTTATAAATTATGCTTGCAAAGATTATAAGCATAAAATATTTTATAATTTAAACAGTCTTTTTATCAGTGTTTTTATTTTAAGCACTTATAATTTTATTTTATTTTTTTTTGTATGATAGATGGCCACATTTAAAAGAAGTATATCATACAAGCATGGAATTAGAGGACCAAATAATAAATTGGAAAGAAGAAATAAAAGATAGTTTGGATGTTAGATCCAAATTGCTTTTTCATTTATCCTGTATGTCCAGTAAACATTATACAAAGGAAGAATTATCTAATTCTGAATTTAAAGAATTTGATGCTTTGTTTTGTTTAAAAGAAGGTGTTCATCCTTTAACGTATTATTTTCTAATAGACGAACTTGTTAGCTTAATTAAACGCCCGGCTATGTAAGTACATCAATGATAAATATATTTTATATTAGAACTTAATAAGTAATTTAATTTAATGGTTAATTTATTTGAGTAATAATATGTCATAAATTTCTATAGAAACAGCAATTTAACACATAGATATTATGCGCTCAAAGTTGTTAGATATTTGAAACAAACCCATTTGAAGAGTGAGTGGCTAAAATTTATATCTCTACCACCAAAACAACAAACTTTAGAACGTGGTGCAACTCTTGTAGCTCAATGGAGTCAACCAGAAAAACATGTGTCATACCTAGCAATATCATCATTATTAGATAATATTGCAGAACAAACTAAACAGCTACTCAGAGAACAATATCCAGCACATTCTATATTTTCAGTTCCAACAGAGAGATTTATCTTTTGGAAAAATAATATTATTGATGATAATCAATGGAATATTTCAGAAACAAGACAAATAACAGATGCATTATGCAAAATATTATTTGAAAAATTAGGTTTCTATGGAAATAATGAAATGTATTATTCTTTGGAAAATTCATTTATAGATCAGGTAAGTCATGAATAACTATTATAAAAAATAAAGTAGATAACAGATTATGTTACATCATAAAATAAATTCTAAATATACATATCATTTCTTTATTAGGTTTTGGAACGTAGATGTGGGATTCCTATAACTTTAGCAATAGTATTTGAAAGTGTTGCCCGAAGACTTGGTATACGTTGTGAGCCTGTTAGTTTTCCATCTCATTTCTTGTTACGATGGAAGGAAACATAGTAAGTCTCTAGTTAATATAAATATGATTTATAATTAATGAATATAATCATTTCAAACTTATGTAATTAAAATTTAGTAATTTTAATCTAATTAAATAAATTATTTGATTTTGAGTTTCATATATATTATTTGTTTTTTTTCATTATTACTATATGTTTTGTTTCAGTGATCCAGAATTTATGGATACAGAAAATTTTTATATTGATGTCTTTAATGGTGGTCAATTTCTAACTAAGAAAAGTTGTCCTAGAATTGGTGGTGTTTCAAAATGTCCAATAGAAAAATATAATGTTCATAAGGCTGCAACTGCTATAGAGGTTTATAGTTTCTTTGAATTGTGTGTCATTGCTCTACATTCTTCTTTGAATGTATAATATAACAGCAATTTTTAACAGGTAGTAACAAGAATGGCAAATAATTTGGAAATAGCTGCTAGGCAACATATTCATGCAAATGGTAGAACTGCAACGTTACGCTCTGTTCTTGAACTTCAATATATGATACAACCTAATGATGCAAACACAATTTTACAATTAGGTCGAATATATACCTTGGGATATATGGATTTAACTGAACTAGCAAAAATATTAGAAAATGCGGTGAAGGTATTTTATGAAATTAATGTGTGTTACAAAGATAATCATATTTGCATCAAATTTTTTTATTCAAATTTTTAGAACTTAGAGTTAATGTCAAGAGGACAGGCAAATATTATTTCACAAGCATTTCTAGCGCTTCAATGTCAAAAAAAATTAAAACCTAAGGTAAGTTTAATACTAAAATTTGTTAAAACTTTCAAACAATAATAATTTGTATTGCAAATATCTATAAGTGATTTGTGTTTCATGCATTTTATTCAGAAAGAAGTGAAACCAAAAAGAAGAACTCCAAATGTAAAATATGCAGTAGGATTGATAATGAGACACAAAATATTTAGATACTTGTGTGTAATAACAGGGTGGGATGTTCATTTTATGGAGACCACAGAATGGAGAAGTGAAATGAATGTAGATGAACTGGGAAGTGCAAATCAACCATTTTATAATATATTGGTAAATGATGGATCATGGCATTATGTGGCTCAAGGTAACATATTATTTATTACTGATAAATTTATTTTATGTAAGAAGAAAAACAAAATATTTTTAAGTAACATATGTATTTATTATTAGAAAATTTAGTACTGGCCCCCAATCCAGAATGGGTAAATCATTATGCAATTGGTAGGTATTTTTACAAGTTTAGTGGTACTCACTATATACCTAATGAAGAAAAAGCAAGAGAATATCCAGAAGATGAACAAATTTGTAACGAACTACTTGTTACAATTTAATTTCCTTTGCGGGAATACAAGATAATAGTAAGATAAAACAATTATTTTTTCCTTATTATATATCCTATGCATAATACTAAAAAAAATCATATTTTCATTTTATCAGGTAGTCTATACTTTAATCTTTTTACTTTAAACAATTTTTAAATATTTACTGTAAACAAAAAAGTAAAAAAACGATATATATAAAACTTTATTTAGTGAAGCATAAGACTTGTACAAATTATCATGTGTCTAATTCTCTCATATATATATATATATATACACATACACACACTACTGACATCTCAGATATTGTTTATTATATATGTAATGATGCTGTATAAGTATTCTAAAAACTTTGAGCTCTTTCTGACTCTTAACCCTATTTATGTGATATAGATATGTATGAATGTATTTATTATGTATAATAAGAGTTAGAAATGATTCGTGTTTTAACATTTTGTTATACAAGTATCATGCAAATATAATAAGCGCCAAATTTCAATTACAAACAGTAATTAAGTCATATATTTCTTTTATAAAATTTATATCGCTAATGGGTAATATCTGAACACAATGTAATTTAAAATTGTTTAAAGTTATTTATGTATTATCATGTTATTCATATATTGTTAGTGGAAATAATATTGTGCATTGGTAAACTAAAGTTGTAAATAAGGATACTTAGTGATTTGGATGCATCTATCGGTGCATACTATACACACGGCAGTATACTAGAAAAGTTCTGAAAAAAGTCTTCACTTAATTCTGAATTTCGATTAATCCCGAGCTCCTAAGATATCCTTAAATTTTTGTTTTGGCAACTGAAACATGTATACTTATGAATGTATAATATTATCTCCATCGACTATACTTAGAACAAAATGTAAATACGTAATAGATAAAACAGTACAGGATATATACTTACAATAAAAAGTAAGTACATAATAGATAAAATATAGTAAAGGATATATATTTACTTATGCTCTTTATTTTATTTTACTGTCATGGGCTGTGCTCACTTTCTGTATATTAACAAGCAGTTGCATAAAAACAATACAAAATTTGTTCTCATAATACTTGTAACACCATAACCATCTGCAGAGATAAACGTATTGAGTATTTTAATATTATACAATATATTAATATTCAAATCTAAGTAAATTGGAATTTTTTTTACGTATAACAACACTTTTAGTGTATTTTATATACATAATATATTTTTTTTATATATAATTCTTAAGCTGAAAAAAACGGTCAGTTTTATATTAGTTTGATTAAGGTTTAAGAAAACTGATTTATAGTGAGTACTGAATTACTATTACATGAAATATACATGCAATATTTTATATTTTTTTATAGTACTTAGTACCTGCTACAAAACATCGATTTTAATGAAGTATTACACTTACCACATCAAAACATTCAAATGTCAGGTCACCGATTCTTATTGTTTTTATTATTTTTCTATCATTTTTAATAATATTAATTATTGTAATGTTTAGATAAATAAAAAATCACAGAACATTTGTAACGTTAAATGTGACAGATGCAATTCAAAGTAAACTTCACGAGTTAGTTTCTTCTAATGACCTGCAATAATAATGTAATATTCAATTTTGTATTTATATGTATTTTATATTTATAAAATTGTGAAGTATAAGTAATATTACATTAACAAAATTTGAATCATATTCACCTTTCCGCGGTACATTTATTGGAAGGATCAGAAGATGCTTGCATAGTAGCCTCTAAAACATTTTTTTGACCTGAAGAAAAAGTGATTTAATATTTATATTTTATACTTTATCTGCAGAAATAATTGCACTTACCGTGTTTATGCTGATATAACGCTGGTGCCCAACTATAATTGTTAGTACTTGGAATAACATCTGTTGCTGCACTACTTGCGGACGATAATGAAACATCGTGTGCTAACGAAAGTGTAGTAGATTTGACAGTGGCAGTGGTGCAATTATTAGATTTTCCTTCTAATGAAATATTTTTCCTAGTTATGAAATAGTTTCAAATGTTAAAAAGTACATATAACTTTTAAAGATAATTGCAAAAAATCGTTACCTTAATTTATTAAAACAACTGGCAGTGTCTTTTTGAGATATTGTAGACAATTGAAAAGTTTCTAACAATTGTTCAAATTCAAATATTTTGTTATTTTCGTTATTTATAATACTAACGTTAGTGGATGATGACGGTGAAGATTGTCGTCGTGATAATAGATGTTTCGACACAATTTTATTGCTATCCAATACTACTGAAAATGTATATATTTTATATGATTGTACATGTATATATATATATTATAATATATACATATTATAATGTACATATATACATATTATAATGTATAATATATTATAATATATACATATATAAATAAACTATACATAAATTTATAATGTATTATAAATTACCAATTTACCATTTGGCACTATCAAATCTGATCTTGATGTTTCTACTTCGTGATTAATTTTATTGACCACAGATATTTTTGGCAGTTCTTCCTCACAGTCTATTGAATTTGAACGAGTTGTGGGTTCAGATCTTGTCTGGCTTCCACAAGCTATTAATCCGGAAACTTCTTGCTGACAAATATTGGGTAATTGATTTAATTTTGGTCTACGGCTGCATATCATTTGAGGTTGACAAAGATGAGAGAGACATGTAGAACATTTGTCAGCAAATTGTTCATTACACGTTGAATCATGTTCTGGTTGTAAGGGGTTGGAATTATGCTGTTGCAAAGTTGTCAAAGATGTTCTTGAATCACAAGTATCGTCTACATGTTGATTAAAGCATAGTGAAGTCCAGGCAGAATTTCGATCTTGCATTTCAAATAAATGTAAGACCATTATCTCATCTTCTAATCTATCACCTCCTAATCTATAATAATGAATTGAATTGTTTAAAATTATCTTATAAAACAATTACATTTTGAAAGTCAGTAATGTACCTCCAAATATTTCCTGTACTTTCTCGATTGTTCTGTTGTTTTGTCCGCTGCTTATTCTGAATCCATAATGTTAATGACTCTGCAACTTCTACGTCATTTTCCCCTGTAAACAACGATATTATAAACGCATTGAAATAGTTAAGTGTTATAGTTGTTAGAAGATACCATAGATAACGTAAAGTGCACGGAATTTATAACAATTATTTTGAATAAGATGCTAATATGAACATTATGATTGGACTAAGATAAAATTTTTATAACTTGAACTATTATAGTATACATATATACAGGAATATTTATTTCTCATCATAAAATTAAATGTAAAGGATGGAGATTAATTCAGAAAGACAGGAAATTTCTCATAAGATTGCTTGAAAGTGATTGGGAGTATGGAAAGTAGGGTTCTCTATCACAAAATCTTCGTCTGCTTTCTCATTTGTAGGTTTTTCATTTTCAACACCTTTATCTAACTTGCTTTTCCGTGATCTCTGCGCATCATCTACAGAACCTCTGTTTGAACTTGTACCTAGTTTAGTATATTACTACGTTACATTGTACATAAAAAATTCAGCAACATTTCATATAGCTTGTTTGAGTAATATATTACAAATTTTGAATATACTACATTTAATAAAATTATAACAATCTATACTATTACCTGACATTGTTTCATCATCTACATCATTTTCGTCATTAGAATTATCATCCACAAGTGTTAAATATGTTTGGTTATGTTCACATTCATCCATATATATATCGTGTTCACTTAATTCCTATAATAAATATAAATTGTTAATTTAAATAGTATATAAATTCAATAAAACTTAAATTATTCGAGTGTCTATTAGGATTCTTTATTATGTTATTTTTAATTTATTCTAAATATCTTACTCCACTATCACTACTGCTGCTACTAGAAAGAAGATTCAGCGGTTGTTGATTAAGCACCGTTGGTGAAGAATAGGAGGGAGGAGGAGAGTGTGTATTTGTAGCTGGACAATCTCCCACAGAACCATCATTTGTACTATGCATATTGGGTGGTTCAGCTTCGACAACACTTAAATTATTTATTCTATGTTGTTTTAAACTTGTTTTTGAAGAAATAGACGATAACGTTGAAGAGGAACCAAGTGGGCGCATATTCGAAGGTTCTCCTAATTCACACATAGACATTAATTGATCTCCTGATAAAACTCCACTATTCCCTCCACCAGGAAGAACATTTTGTACTGATCTATTATAAAAATAACATGAAATTATTCAAATCTTAAAACATTTTATTTCACTTTTCTAAAAATAACAATTTGGAAAAAAAGAATTAATTTACCTTGTAGATGTGCCATTTTGATATGTGTCAGTGGAACGAATGGAATTAGAGTTAAGCAATGGTTCACCAGCAACCTGTGACTGTTGTTGCATCATCATAGGTGACACATTTGTTGTTGATCCACATAATGTAGCTCCACTGGATACTCTAGTTGCTGCCATAGCATTCCGTGATATTTCAATTGCTAATCTCTGTAAAAATAAATAAATCTTTGTATAAATATATAACTGAATATTTTATATTTGTATATTACCTCTTTCAATTCATTAATCTGTGTAGCATATTGATTCTGAACCGTGAGTAATTGACTGATATACCACTGTTGATCTCTACAACGCTGATAGAATGTTGGTGGACGTACTTGAAATCTGTTATTTATTTTTATATTATAATTAAACAATATATTGAAAAAGAAGTATTATGTAATTGACATACCTTAATATAAGAGTATCCAGTTCAGTATTTAAGTATCCCTCAGTTGCAAGCAAATCTAATCTAAAAAATCTATTATAACCCCAGCATTCACCAATTTCGAAATCAGAAGCAAATTCTCGAACTATGTTCTTATTTGTATCGCGAGATCCTTGGTGAATCATTTCAACACGATATTCGTATCTGCAAAAATGTACTAATTATTTTTGTATAAAAGAAATTAATTAAAAATCATAAAAATAAGATCGTACTTCGATGTTTCCGGCAAGCCAGCACTTAGTTCTAGAAAAACTGACAAATAATTTCCACGTACAACACCGTTTCCATCGGGATATACTTTCAATCTCCAACATAATCCATTAACATGTAAAGGTGCAGAATATACTGGATCTGCTTTTAATTGTAATTGTGTAAAATTTTGCATTGCGAATGTAGCGCTATCATATCCCGGAACAATTTCGCTAAAATAATAAAATAATATAAATTATTGTAATCTTTAGACAATATTAAATATTAAATTAAAGAGCCAAGTATCAATACTATACCTATGAAAATCAGCTGGAACAGGAGCAGTAACAAAACTTGTCATCGGTTTTTTTCGTACTTGATGTATCATTCGCGAAAGATCTGCACTTTTGATTATAAGTTCAGAACGTGTACAAGTATGCAACTGATGTTCTACTTCTTGCAACAAAGCTTCTAGTTGCTCTGTTTCTAATGTTAAGGAGTTTTTTTGCCCCATTAATGTTAACAATTTAGCTTTCAACTGAGAATCTAAACGCGCTATCATCAATTCTACCGCATTTCTAATTTCTCTGACTCTTTCATCTTTTGCAGCTCTCACAGATTCAACATTTCGTTCCTAATAAAGCATGACATACAAATTATTATTTTGATTGTAAAATATTCTGTATTTTATATGAAATTTAAACATACCACTTCTTGAACAAGGCTTATTAACTCCATTAATCTTCTTTTCAATTGACCTACTTCTGTCTTTATTTGTGTAACATGTTGATCGTATACTTCTTCTAATGGCTTGAAAGTATGTCCTGAATGAGTACCACCCCAAAGAGCACACTGATGACAAATACATCTACGACAAGTCCAGCAATAAACAGATAGTTTCTCACGATGCACAGTACACCTGTTTAAAAATACATATAAATATCAATATTGACATTAATAATAATTAAAATAAGAGAGAATAATAAACTAATAGTTAAAAATAAAATATTACCTATCTCTATTGGAGTCATCATGCCTAGAGTTTGAAATACCAACAGCTTGAAGTGTGTCAAGCTGTTGGGTTACTTCCTCAACCCATCTGCAATTTACTAATTCATGTAAAAGTAAAGAAGCTCTACAGTGAGGACATTGAGGACGCTGTTCTGTCAACCACCTTCTAATACATGTATAGCAACATAATTTACTGCAATGGGGACAAAGATGTGCATCTGTTAGTTTTTCCATACAAATAAAACATCTGAAGACTTCTGCTAATGTCTAAAATATAAAATCAAATTTATAATAGGTACATATTGTAAATTAAACAATTTATTACTGTAATAATATATATAATTTAATATAATAGAAATATATAATAATTATAATACATTTGAAATTAGCATGTAATTTTTGTTATTATATGAATTAAAATATAATTTGCTTGCTCATTTAATGCTACTAAATGTTGAATGAGATAATAAAAAGTATGTACTTGCAATACATATTGTTAAAAACAATTATGTATATCTAAAGCATTATATTGTAAATCTACGAACCTCAACACTATGATCATCCGAGTTTTTTGAATTAATTGATGTTTCTCTACTAGCCATTCTGTCAAGCATTTATTAGTAAAAAATTAATCAGGTATTATTGATCGTTGCATGAATCGCTAGGTCTGAAAGTTATGCACAATACCGACATTTCATTTTGGACGGTTTTGTTCCAACTATATAACCGATTCAATAAAATGTTACTTTTGAAATGTCTTCATTATTAATCATTGTTGATTATTCATTAATTAAATATACAAAATGTTTTCCAGGTACTCTTAGAAATTTGTCGAGAAGAATACGATATTGTTATGAATTGTGATTCGCCATGAAGTAAAGTAATCTATGGCAAGCAGTGCAGGAAACATCTAATCCCGTTAAGCCATTTATCTTGGAACTATTTAAAAGAAGTATACAATTTTTGATTAAATATTCTATATATTTTATATATGAAAAGAATACAGAAAATAAAATATCAGCACGCAAAATTATATATTCTTACATTTAGTACATGATTTTTAAAAGTAAACTGTTCTTAAATTGAAATGTCAATCATTACACGTAACATTACAAGTAAAATGAATTTGTAAAAAATAAAAAATATTTTTAATCAATATTCTGGTCTATAAATGCAATAATAAATTTTATAATGTTAATAAGCTAATTTTGAATACAGAATAAGTAAAATATGAAATTAATCTGATTGTATTAAATTATAATATTAACTGATATATCTTTTAATATTTAATCCTTTGTTATGATAAATTATCTTCCTTATATAATCAAAATGATTTTATTTAACTAAAAATGATTTTATGTTGTTTATTTAAGAATATCTCTAGTAATAATTTCTATAACTATACCTTTTTATTATTGTTTTTAAGATTTGTATATATTTGTAATTATCGTTGATTTGAAAACATATAATGTATAATGTGGCATGATGTATATATTTATTAATTGTATATAGATACAATAGAAATGATCTTTGTTAAAAAAAAAAAATCTTTAACGCCACCTACCTTAACTGAAACATGATATGTAAAAAGGGATTTTACCTTGAATAATAAGTGTACATTAAAGCATAATTAGTGAGAAAGTTTAGTTTCGATATTGTGATGTTCTATTAAATATAATTGGTATAATAATACGTTAAAATATAATAAGAAAAGTACGGGAATTTAAACAATATTGTTATTTTCACTCAAAAGCTTCTCTGCATATAAATATATTTATTCATGTGTATAATTCGGATGCAAGTTTTTAGTCATTTTTAATGTTAATAAAATAAATACTTTACAAATTTGTTGAAAAAATAATTGAAAATAATAACTTAAAATTACAATTTTAGCAATAATTGATTTTAAGTTTATCTAAAATTTATTGTAAATAATAATAAAGGTTACATTTTTTCCACATATTTATATATTTATCTTTTTAAGTAAAAATAAAAAAAGATGATGGTTGCGGTATTTATTTCTTGTTTATTTAGTTATTATTGTTTATATTAGTTATTAATTATTTAAATTTAATGGTAAATAATATAATTGCAGGTTTCCCATTTATATTAAATATTGAACTATAGTTAAGTTTAAGATTTACATGATGGCTGGATTTCCATTAACAAAAGTAGAATTACAGACTGATGTATACATGGTATGCTTACAGCATGCATTGTCGACAGAAAGATTTGAAGTAATGGGGTTATTAATTGGGGATGTATGTTCATTAGTATATTTTTTATTTTATATAATTTCTTATATCTTTTATGTATATGAAAAAACTTCTATTATTTCATTAATAATTTATGCTAGACAGTACTTGGTGTTGCAAAAATTGTAGCAGTTGTTATTTTGAGACGTTTGGACAAAAAGAAAGACAGAGTAGAAATTTCACCTGAACATTTATTAAAAGCTGTTAGTGAAGCAGATCGTTTATGTGAGGAATTAAAACGTCCTGTGCGTGTACTTGGATGGTATCATTCTCATCCCCATATTACAGTTTGTCCATCACATCTTGGTTAGTATAGAAATTGTGTTATGTTGATATAATAATAGATTATAATAAAAAATATAATTTTAATATAACAAATGGTTCTTTAGATGTTAGAACTCAAACAGCTTACCAGAAATTAGAAGATGGTTTCGTGGGTTTAATATTTTCAGTATTTTCAGAAAGTAAAGAATCTAAGGTAAATAATAAATAAATGGTTATAATAACTATAATTTTCACATTTCTAAATGAAATGTTTCATAGGAACAGGAAATTTCTTTAATTTGTTTCCAATCTCACAATGACAAAGCAATAGAAATTCCATTAGAAATTGTACATACGCCAATAATATCAAATACATGTTTAAAAGTAAGCATTTAAATAATACAAATTTAGTTAATTTTATCTACGATTAAATTTCAATATTAATTTAATTTATATACATTTTTTAGACAATGACAAATTTATTAAAAATTTTGGTACAAGAAGAAGAAGAGATGGCAGAATCATACAAAGATCACCAGGATATTCTTGCCAGCATACACAATAATGCTGGTTGGTTTATTTATTTTAGTGTTTAAAGCTTTTATTTACTAAAAAAGAAACTAATTTAATTATTAATTACAGTAAGGACACGAACATTAGTTCATATAACGGACATAATTACTAAGCCATTAGTACTAATGTTCAAGAAAAGGATAGCTTTAAATGAATTACGCGCTGCATATCTTCGAAGACAACTACAAGAACTACAAAAAGTGTGTAACTGATGAAAGTTCTAGTTGTGATGAAAAACAATGTTTCTCCATTTTTTATGTGTTATGTGTCATAAAAATATATTAAGTTCAGTATTTTTTTACTCTATAGCAATAAAATCCTGGTTAGTTTTCGTACTATTTATTGTTATAGAAGATAAAATGATGTTCTATATACAAACTGTAGTGTTACATAAGAAATAAAATATCATTAATTTTTTCACATGTTTATTTTAATTATTTTGTTAGTCCAAATGAAGGATAAACGAAACGATTTTTCAGTTATTATTTTTATTTTACCTTTCACGAACAAAGATCTGGCAATACTTGCACAGTTCTATATTTACACTACGAGAACAACAGTGTATTTAAATAGACTTAAATGTATTCAAAACACGGATTCTGCAGAACGAGAAAGATGTATAGGATGAGAAGGACTACGTGCTAACCTTTTGCGAGGCAGCTTTTCCAAAGTAGTTAACAATTTTGCAAAGTCGGGCCGATTTTCTGCATGGTATGACCAGCAAAGCATTAGGATGTCCTATAAATGTATAAAAAATATTAGTAATAAATAATTATAAAGTTTATAAACTTTTGGGAAAGTTTGAAAATATATTTAATTCAAACTTCATGAAATAATATTTAATTATACTTTATACCTTTACATCACGGGAGGCTTGCAAATTAGCTAAAGTTTGCTTCATTCCTTTCCCAACTTGCCAAATGATTGCTTCAGGAGGTTGTCCTTTAAATGGCCACTCTCCACATAAAAGCTCATACCATACTGTCCTATAATAATTTTCAAATTATATTTAAAAAGGGAACAGTACCGAAAATTATATATCTTATCATATTTTTACACTAACCCAAATGCATAAACATCAGAAGCTTCTGTAAAAGGTAATTCTTCCTGATCTCGATTCTGTTGCGGTCTTAATCGTCGAACAATTTCAGGAGCTAAATAACATAACCACCCTGGTGGTATACTCAATGCATTTCCTTTTCTGTTTGTAAATGAAAATCAATAAATATAAATGTATGATGATATTTCATGTCAGATATAATTCAATAAAAAATTTACCTATTTCCATAACAAAGCTTCGTAACACTAAATAAACCGAAATCAGTAATTACAACTTTTCCGTTTTCTAAAAATATGTTTTTGCTCTTGAGATCTTTATGAATTATACCACGAGCATGAAGATAACCCATTCCCTAAATAATAAGAATCATATTAAAATTCATTAAAATAATGATACTCGGAAGTATCATTATTTTAGTATTTACATCTATTTTTTTTTAAATGCATATACCTGAGAAATCTGCTGAGCGATAATAGTGGTTTTATTCATATTAAATTTATCTTTACGCAAATGAATATGAGTGTAAAGAGTCATGCCTTTGCTCATACTAGTCACTATCGCCAAACGCGGAGGCTTCATGCAAGCTCCCATAAATAAAACTAGATTTTCATGTCTAGTTTTTCGGAATGTAGCTACCTATAAATTTAAATGGAATATAATTTCAATAATGACTGTCAAGTAATTTCAAAAGATAATATTACAATATAAGTGTATATAAATTAGAAATATTTCAATTATAGTATGGTTAATCAATTAATTCATTTTACATATAACCAAATACATATGTGTTCAAAGAAGTTATTTTTCTAGTTATTTCTTTATTAACTTTATTTACTTAATTAATAGGAACGCATAAATTATAAGATATATATTTATTTATACATACCTCCAATTTAAACGCTTCCAACGTTTTGTCATCGTCTAAATAATAGTCCATATTTAGGACTTTAATTGCAACATTACCATGCCAATAGCCTCTGTACACTGTACCAAATCTTCCAGTACCTATAGGTTCTCCAATTTTTAGTTCATCATAAGGAATGTCCCATTCTCGCATAGATAACTGTAATGTCAAATCGATTCAAATATACTAATATTTAAAAACATTAAAATTACGTACACTATTCTGTCGTGGCCAACGACTGTCTCCTGGTTCTCCATCAGAGACTTGAGAATCTAGCGAATCAACTCTAACCGGTGTTCGTTCTGAATCTGTGCTAACGCTACCTGATCCTGAAACGCTCACTGTTCTTTCACTATCACTTGACATAGTCGTTCCTTCCAGTCGATGAGTCTCTAATGTAACACCTTTTTCATTGAGCAGAACATCTAAAAAAAACACATCGTGAATTTATCATTTATCATAATAAAATGCTTTCATTTAATTACCTGGAAAATGGAACTGTTGTTTGGCAGGTGCCTGTGGAGTTTGGCTAGTATTGGCAGGTAGCAAAGCTGGACTAGAAGGCGTTGAGCTGTTACAGCTCGAGGTATTTGAACTAGAATCTGCGCCCTATAGGTACAAGATTGTAAGTTAATGTCTGCAGTTAGTCCTTAATATTAAAAGAAATTAAAATAAAGTAAAAAAAGAAGAAAGATGAAAGCATAGTTAATATACCTGAAAAGGTATATTCATAGAAGAATGTGGATGCGATCGTTTTCGATCTCTTCGATTTAAGGAGCTCAATAAATTTGAATTATGATGATTAGGAGATGTTATACCAGGTTTGCTTAATATTGGAGAAACGTTTACCATACCTAAAGTTAAAATTTTAAAATAATTTACAAAAACACTTCGTGAATTTTGATAAAACTAGATTTTTAAATATTGATAAAAAAAAAAAAGAAATATTGTAGGTACGTACCGTCACCTTGTACGGTTCTTTTAAACTCGTCAAAAAGTTCTTGAGGTAGGCCACAAGACGGTGGTACTTTGGATTCACAATCTCGATGACACTTGTATTTACATTCTTTGCATTTCAAACCAGTGCCTATAAACATCTGCTTATCGCAATAGTCGCATGTTGTCATCATCTTAAATGTTTTGGTAAAGCGGTGAGCAATTATATGGCCCATTCCCCGGGTTACAGTCGGAGTACGCGGTGACTTTGGCACTTGGAGACTTGTTACTATCAAAAATTGAAAAAATAACAATTTCACACACGTGCACGCACACACACGCACGCATGCACGCACCACACAAAATTTCTAAAATAGAGAATTATACTTACCTGTTCCCTTAAAACTGTTATCATCGCTTTCTGCACTAGAATAAGGTGGTGACTTAACAGGACTATTACTATTTAGCAGTAGATTTTCTGCTGTGATGTCTGCATTACTACTACAAGATCCTGATTCTGTAGGTAAACGGTTTCTTCTTCCTACAGAACCAACAGGATCATTCCCACAACTGCAAAAATAGGAAAAACAATATTAAATATTAACTTTCCTATTTTTTCAGTTAAAAAAATGTTCCCTAGTAACAAAAAGAAATGTTATTAAAAATTATGTTACCTTGAAGCTGTATCCCCATTTTCAAGACGGTTTGCTAATTGTGATTCATGAGACTTTGACTTAGTTAAAGGAAACACTTCTGGTTGTGATATTGTATTCTGTAAACCTATCTGATGTTTTTTACAAGGAGGAGGAGTTGTTGGAAATTTAATTCCTGTTTTGAAAAAATAAAATTTCGTGCAACTGTTTCACACTATACTTCTAACTAATAAGAAAAATAAGGAACACCTGAATGTACTACTTACCACGTCCTGGTCTTTGTAAAAGGGGGGTAGAAGGAGGACTAGTTGAAGATAAAGATGTAACGGAAGAAGCTTGTGCTAATATATCACTGTTAAGATTGTTGTTATTATTATGATATGGAATGCTGTCTTCTGAAGGAACAGAGCATCTTGTTGTACGGGATCTTGCTGGCCTTGGAGATGCTCCAGTGCGTAAGTGATGACTATCCCAAGAATCCCAATATAAATTCATATCACTGTTATCTTTATCTCCCCTTAGGAGAACATCTGAATAATGTTATATAAAATGTATATCCTAATGTATATTTAATAACAATCTTGTTAATTACTACAAAGTTAAATTATTACCCATATATCGACGAAGATTGCGCAATGCCCTACATAATCTACGTAATTCTTCTTCGTGTTTAATATTACTTTCTCCCAACATACTACCTAACTCATGCTCAGATTTCTCTTTAAGAGCTTCAAGCGAGTTAGCTTTAGAACAAATCATCTAAAATTCATTAACATAGAAATTGAAAAATTAAATTATTATTCAAATAAGATTATAAAAATCATTGTTAAAAATTTATACCTGAATAGATTCTTGAGTAAGACCCACTACTCTCAACCATTGCTGCAAAGATGGATATTGTTTCATCTCTGCAGGTAATGACTCTTCTAAAGCCAATTTGGCTTTGTTTACAAGTTGCTTTGAATATAATTTGATAAGTTTTCCCTGAAATTCATTTTGATCACATAAATAATACAAAATAAATAAAAAAAGGCATAAGATTTATAACTTTTTGGCATTAGATTATGTTATTTTATTACATTTTTGGTTTAACCTTATGATTATTAAAAACATAATTTAGTCAGTCATTCTTAAACCATAAATAAAAAGTTTTAAAATACTCCTTATTAGACTCATTAAAATTTATTTAAAAAATGAAACAAGTTTTTCTAAAGTATTAAGGAACATCTAATTCTAGGAGATGTAAGACACAAGTCCTTCATTTTTATTAAAATCATTACCATGAATACATAATAAAAGAACTAAAAATTAGTATTTTTAAAGAAAAAAATATTGAAATATTCGCGTGCATAAATTGTCAACAAACATATAGACTTAATTTCTAAGTCAATAAAGAAATATATTTGCAACTTGTTGATAACCACAAAGCAACCCTTCACGAGGTCAAGGCGATGGTGCTGAAGGTAATAAAAGAAGGAATAGGAAAGGATCGAAAGGATTGCACGCTCTTGGATGTACCTCGAGCGTTCGAATTTCCTGTTGAGTGAGTTCTGCACTGGTGGAACATTGGGTCCTCAAGCCTTCGAGTCGTTCAGCAGAGATGTCAATCATAGATTGAATGACATCTAACGCTCGACGAATTTCTTGTTCCGCATCTTCACCGTCCGCCATCCCGCGCCACGATGACGGCCTTTTGTTTCGTTCTATTCGAGGCCGATCCCTATTTCACAGGCATAATTTCGCTCGCACGAGGCACCTATCGGTCGCGGCTTTATTACTGATTCTCCGTGTAACCAAACCACTTATCAACATTGACAACCATCTTGGCCGCCTATCGGTGACGTCAATCGGTGCCCGACAATCCGGGATCTCAGCGCGTTCATTCGAGCGATACTGTTGCGTTCGCAAAATTGTTCTCTTCGATCACTTTTTGCTTTGTGAAATATCTTTTTAATGATATATTTAATTTTACGTTTAATTTTTTATGTTATATTTGAAAGATTTACTGTTTAAATATTGCAATTAGTATAATAATATATAATGATACAGAATATGTCGTTCTATCACATTCTTTTCTATTAAGCAACAATTTTTTTAAATATGTAACAAATTCATGCTTAATATTAATATCATGAAAATTATGCATATATAGGTAAATAATTTCTTTTTGACTAAATTTAATTTTAAAGTATAGATAGATAAAAGTTAAGGGGCTATTTAAAACAGAAACTAAAGTGCATTGGTTTTGGAACGTTTGCTCGATTGAGCATATATAAGCGCCACTTGCAACATTTCTTCCGTTCATTTGGTATATTCAATATGATATTCGAGGTTTCTTATCTAGCTCTCTTCCCGGTCGATGAATGATCAAATTCATTCGTTGCTTACTCGTTCGGTGTCATGTATTTGTTAGACGAAATTTTGTGTTGTGCGTCCGAGACGTGGAATTTATAATAATTGTTGGTGTTGTATGTTAGCGTTAACAAGACATTGTAGAAATGGTGAATATAGACACGATACAAAAAAATTATCCGCTGCATTGGCTTGTGTGGAATAACAATTATGTAGAACTTGAAGAGGAATTATCTACAAAGCTGGTTGGTAAAAAAACAGAAAAAAAAAGAAAAGTGTCATTCGAACATTGATTGCATTTAAACGTTATTGTATGTCGTACCTGTGATTAAACAGATGGTGACAATAAAGACACAAAAATTAACTATTTATCAATTGTTTTTTTTTATGAAATGAATATGTGACAGATGACAGTTTGTATTTTATACTAGGTATTAAAGTGCTTTGTAATTAAGATGAAAAAGAAAGTATAAAAATATCTTTATTGATATTTAAATGAAGAAATTATTTTCTATATTAATTATCAAATATGATATGAATTTTCTACCTTTTCTAGTTATATTGTAAGATATTAGCTTTGTGATACAAATTAATTAATGATTTATAAATTATTAAAAGCAATTACATATTATCATATTGATCTAAGAAAATCATTTGATACACTGTCATAGAATCTGATGAGTGAAGCCTTGCATGAGTTAGAAACCATAAATGTTCACTGACTTGTAACTTTTGATATTATATGTTCAATATAACATTGATAGATTTGACAAAGCTCATAAAAGGACTATTGTGCTAACTATTAATATTGACAGCACTGAATGTCATCTATAATAAGAAAAACCTAAAATGTCTTTTAATGTTTATATATATATGTATGTATATGTATATATAGGCAAAACTTAAATAAATATATTCTAAACATCTTAATAATTATTGAGCATATATTATTCCATATTTACATAGTAATAATATGATATTTTTTATAGCATGACATTGAAAAAGTTGATAATAGGGGAAGAACACCATTAATGTTAGCTGTGACTTTGGGTTATATTGAATCTGTTGGAGTATTATTGCAGCATGAAGCTAATGTTAATACGGAAAACACTCAAGGATGGACTGGTAATTACCATATATAATTTTATCTATTAATCTACCAAGTTAATTAATATTAAAATTGTAATTTTACCATTCTTGTAGTGGTTCAAGAAGCAGTTGGCACAGGAAATCCTGAGCTAATACAAATGGTGCTAGCACATAGGGATTATCAAAGATACTGTAATCGTGTAGCTGGTATTCCAGAACTGCTTCATAAACTTAAACAAGTGAGTTGATTATAAATATGTTTTTTGAGATATTATTTGAAAATAATTACAAATTAATGAGCATTTGCATAAATATAAAAATCTTTATGAGCCAATCACATGGTTGGTAGTAATTTTTACATATGTAAACTAAAATCAAATAATATTTTTAGGCACCTGATTTTTATGTAGAAATGAAATGGGAGTTTACTAGTTGGGGTAACTACATATTGCATAATTTTCTAATTATTTTCACTTAGAAGCATTAAACTAATATTTAATTTATTATTAGTTCCTCTTGCCTCCAGAATATGTCCAAGTGACACATACAAAGTATATAAACAAGGCAGCAATGTGCGAATTGATACAACATTATTAGGATTTGACCATAAAAAGTGGCAACGTGGAAATCGTAGTTATGTTTTTAAAGGACAAAGTGAGTATTTAAATGTGATTTTTTGCATGAATGTTAATATATGTTAAGTTCATTTTAATCATCAGAATTTTTTATATGTTTTTCTTCTGTATTAATAGTAGAATTTTTTATTTGTTCTTTAATCATATATATTAAATGCAAGCTGCATCAAATGTACCTGTGGCAATTAGATGTGAACGGAGTTATGTGTTCAGTATGATGGGTCAAGAGTCAGGTGACAGAATTACTCTTAAAATTAATGTGGTATACAGAATTGTAGAGAATATTATAGAACATTTTTACAAAGTAGAAAAAAGTTTCCTTGTATATTTCTTATACATGTATTTGTTTCTATTTATATTTGTTATCATTTCCTTGCAATTTTATTACTTTTAAAAAGCTGATATGATAAATTGAAATTTTGTATGGTAAGTATAATTTAGATATTAAGTGTGATAACAATTAATATATCATTATATATGTATAACTATTTAAAAATTGTATATTTTATGGAATTTTTTTAGTAGTTTAATGTATTTAAATGAAAAAGATATTTTAAAATTATTAATTAGTGTTTATATAATTAATAATAGGAAACTATAAAGTTAAATAGAGCATTTTAATTTAATAAATTTTTTTGAATGTTTTTAATAATAAAATAAATAAACTCTATTTATACAGATGATGGCGCAACAATGATGGAAGTAGATCACAAAACAAGAAAAGTATATGTTGAACATATTAAACTCGTAGATATTGACGATATGCAATTAATGGAGCCTTCTGAAGAAGGTGTATTAGCTCGACTTACGAATCCGATAGTTACTACATATATAGATACAGATAAAATTAGTTTTGAACGGTAATTATACTCCTTCAGTACCTCTAGCTTGTCACAGCTAATACAGTCATGTGTATTTATTAACAATTGTTTATGTCCAATTAGCAATAAAGCTGGTTTATGGGGATGGCGTTCTGATAAAAGTGAAGTAGTTAACGGACATGAGTGTAAAGTGTTTAGTGCATGCAACGTAGAATTAATAACGAAAACTCGACTAGAACATTTATCTGAGCCTGACAAGGCACGGGCTCGTGCTCCTCGTACGCCTCTTCAATCATTTCTTGGTATGGCGGAACAACAACAAGAGAACAGTAATAGCGCTACTACTAGTGTAATTTTCTTTTTTCGTATATCTCATTTCATATACTGTATGATCATAATAAAATTGATTTACTATTCGTTTTAGGAAGAATATAACAATATTGGAAATCCTTCTAACATAACACCTGAGGAATATTTTGATCCAGACGTTGATTTAAGTGGAAGGGATATAGGTAGACCAAAGGAAGTTAATACAAAAATTCAAAAATTTAAGGTATTACATTACAAGTAAAATATGATATTAAACTGATATCTATATATATATATATATAATAAATATAATCAAATACAACTACAGGCAACTTTATGGCTTAGTGAACAGTATCCATTAAGTCTTCAAGAACAGATCATGCCAATTGTTGATCTTATGGCAATATCTAGTTCACATTTTGCGAAATTAAAAGATTTCATTCAAATGCAGTTACCAGCTGGATTTCCTGTTAAAATTGGTAATTTTAAATTAATCTTTTATGATGGGAATCATATTTCATAAATGTTACAATTATGTACCTTTTCTTTTTTTCGTAGAAATTCCACTTTTTCATATATTAAATGCAAGGATAACATTCGGAAATATTTTTGGCATGGATCAAGAAGTACCACATGTAGGGCATTTGCAAGAAACTAATAGAATGACTTGCTTGGTTGATGACATTTGTTTTGAAGCACCTGTAGGATATGTAAAACTAGGTAAGTTTTATATTTGTGTAAATTAAATACTAAAAAAGATAGTAAATGTACATTTTAAGTACGATTTATATTATGTAATTATCAGTATCTACTTAATATTTATATTATGTAATTACACCTACTTAGCGGGTGCTGAAGTTCGGACACAATTTAGTATGGAAGAAGAAGACGATTTATTACAATTTGCTATTCAGCAAAGTTTATTGGAAGTTGGAAGTGAACGTGATGAGGTATAAATACCTAAATCCTTTTAAATTGTTTTTACCGAGAGTCCTATATAAGTGAATTCTAATAGTGTAATTTCTTTTACCAAGGTTGATATATGGGAGGCCTTAAGAGCGCAAAAACCATCACGACCCACGACACCAAATATGACAACAGAAGAAGAAAGGCAACTACAGAGGTATGGAAATGTGTCGTGTATAGGAATGTTGTTGCAAATATTTTGCTTTTATTTTAAAAGTTCTAAATATTTTATTTTGCATGTATTCTTGCCCAACAATTCAAATTCAGAAAGGTGGGTGATGGATTGTTATAAATATTAGATACATAATGAATACTTTACTTAACAATATATATACGTATTTTTACAGAAAATTCAAGGAATTGCAGGAAATGTTAGGGAAAAAAATACGTTTTTTAATTTACGTTGATGCCCTGTCTTTTGTATATATGACGTAATAATTTAATGTGCATAGGATAATATTATTAAGATATCTTTTCAATAAGTAATTGTAAATTTTTGCTTTCGTGTTTAATACAGTGCGATTCAAGCAAGTCTGGCGCTATGCCAGGACAGTACTACTGGGTGTGCGAGCGGTCAAAGTAACTCGGATAAGACGAATGACGTAGAAGACGCTGATTCGCTTGAAGATACAGCGGAACAATTAAGACTGGCATTAAGACTTTCAGAATTACAACAATTGGAAGAGGAACAGCGTCGATTATTAGAAGAAGAAACGTTCCGGCAAGTGTTGAAATTATCTCTTACAGACAAGTGAACTTTAAAAATGTGCAATAGTCATTAAAAAATTTGTTCAAACTATACTTCCACGACTATGTGAAATCTTCCACCTTCGCAAACATCATGTGACTGTTAAGTGCGAGATCATTTCCTACAATTCATAAAACATTAAATAAGTAAACTTGTTGTTTACAAGAAACATTTGTTATTATAACATATATACAGGGTGTCCCATTTTAATCTTCCCAGGCAAATATCCCTACGACATAAAAAATACCGAGAAATATTTCAAACGAACGTTGTAGGATATAAAGAGGGATAGATCATGTTGATATTTATTTGAAACTTGCGTTAACTTTGAAAAGTTTGACTATGATCAACTCTAAGTTTTTAAATTGGAATTTATATTTTTTACTGCATGCTATTATAGCTGATATCAAAGTGTTTTTAAAACACTACCTACTCGTATCTTTTGCATAAACCATTCTTAAGATATGAACTTTCAATATATATACACATACAATATACATACATTTGTATGTGCTATATATATATAAAATAAATATATTGTACATATATTGTATGTATTATATATATTATAGTTAGGAAATCCAGGTCAAATAGTGGAGGTAATATAACATTAACTATGAAAGTAAATGATTTAAATTATGTTATTTATTTCTTAACTATATTTTATATGAATGAAAAGATTAAATAGTAATGGAGGAACATGATATATACATAATGATATATTATGGTATATACTCAGAAGTCTTGAAAATTACAATTGTTCTGACAAAAAGGTCAAAATATTTTCGCTGTGCAAAATATGCTCGAATCAAATTATATTAAACAGAGATAAAATCTCGTTGAAAGTATGTACTATAAGTTACGGTTGTTAATGTTTCAAAAAGAAAGCTTGTAATTCTCAAGTCTTCAACGGTTATTCGTTTTGTCCTTACTTCTAGTAATTAGATTTGAATTTTCAAAAATTTCTAGCATCAAAATCTAAGGATATATATCGGATTAATATTTTAATTAATGTTCTATGTAATAACCTACTAAAAAAACTGCCTCTCTTAATGTTTGGGCAATTAAAACTATTCCAAGTTCCTTTTTATACCCGTGATAAAATAAATATAAGTAGCGTTTTGATTAATTGAGGATAGTGTATGGTATTAAAAATGACAGTGTATTAAAAATGTATTATTTATTCCTTATAGTTTATTCGTCGTGGACGAGTAATTTCGTTGAAATGTTTAGTACAATTGTACGAAATAAAAAAGAGAAAAAATTATTAACTTGTTATTAGTATACCAACAATTTAATAAAAAGTAGACATGATTATATTACATATCATTGATCTATAAAAATTTTTATTCCTTATCACAGGATTTCTTTTATAAATAACACAATTACTCTTAACAAAATGTAATTGCAGTACAATAATTATATTGTAATAAAAGGTATATTTCTACAAGTAGTATATATCAGGTATAATTCCATGTATAAAATAAAACGTGTGTAGAAAAATATGAACAAAAAAGAAATATTTATGACACTTAAGCAAAAATTATATTTATTACCAATAGATGACAGTGATCAATCTGTCAGGTAATAGGTTACTCAAATTCTGATTGTGCCCTGAAATAAGAGTAATCTTTTTATAATAAAATTACATTTCACAGTATAAAATATAATCTGAGCAATATTTTTGTTATTCCACTTATTTATCCACATCATTTTAATATCTTTATTATGTACCTTTTAAATATAGTGTTTAATATATTTCCACTTTGCGTAAAACGTTGTTCATTTTTATATGCCTGCTGATGCCACTTTTTACGCACAGTATTCCAATGAATTCGATGTTCTCTTAACAACGTTTCTCGTGATTTTAGAGTTTGACCATCCTATAAAATATTATGTATAACATGTATTTATCATGATACAACTAATAGTCATAATGTTATATTAGATGCTTAAATCAGCCAAATTTATCAAAATAGATATCTTACATAATCTAAATTCAATTCTTCCTTATCTCTATTTATTGGTGAGGGTATACGATTCCTAGGTATAGCCTCTTCACAAGGTAATGGAGGTGGTAAATAATAAACATCACGAACTTCTCCATTACTGTCCAATATGTTATTACTTATATTGATTTCATTTACTATTTCTGGACTTGGACTACGTATCCTAAATAAAAACAGTATATAAATTATTCAACATTTTCTAAAATTTTTAGAAAATATATATATAAATATCAGTGATGAGACAATTGTATGATTTCTTCTAAGATATTATAAGTAACATTATTTTACGAATAACGTTGCTTATAATTATGACAATGTTATTATCATTATGTATGAAACTAACTATAATATGTGATCAAAGTAATCAAAGACTATAAAATAAAACTTAAATGAAAGAATAACATTTAAATACTTGCATTTCTATAATTGTTTTCTATTACTTACTTGGGAACAAGATTGGGATTTCTTGGTTGATTTGCCATCCATGCTCTACATATGGGATAAAGTGGTGTATCTTCTTGAAACTGTGCTAAATCAACACTTCTATCAAATAACTTCATTACATAAGTGTGATGAAATGCAGTATCCATTTGCACTTGTCTACGACGTCGTACTTTACGTGGTTGTTGAAAACCCATTGATTTTGTTCTATACATGTTATCACTACAAATAAGAATTCATTGATTAATAACAAATAACAAACAGAAGACTATACATATTAAAAAAAAGTTACATCTTTTTCATTTGATGTTTATAATCTTGTGTAGAACTTTCTTCACTTGAATCTGCTGATGATCCTGTATCACTGTGTTGCAACAATTCTCTGAGAGCTCCTTTTAAACGATCCCTTGCAACCAATACATCACTATCACCTATAATAAAACATATTTTAATATCAATTATAATATGAAATTAATAAAATGAACTGTAATACACCATTAACTACTAGTAAAATGATTAAATATAAATAATACTTTCTATTACCTAATTCATCTTTTATTTCTACCTTTACACGACTAGGTACCGGTATAGGTGTTGGTGGAATATTTCTTTTCTTCCCCATCTAAATTATAAAATTATTTAATTATAGCATTTATTACACCATACAAACATCTATATAATAGTTTTTCTAATTTTCATAATAGCTTATAATTTGTTACAAACATACTTCACACAAAGAAGTTTAATTTATTTAAACATTAAATAATATAAGTCATACTTTTTTTTTTACTATAAAAATTATATGAATTAAAATTAACTATTATTACAAAGAAAAGATAGGATAAATTAATATTCATTTATTTATCAATAAATATTGTAACATAGGCAATTCAAAAGACGAGGTTAGAGCATAAGTTAAAATTTAATTTTATAATATTTCGATGTAAAGAAAAGATAAAATAATGTTTAATTTTATGCTCGTTTTATTTTGAATTCCTTTAGTGAAAGTTATGTCATTTTAATTGAATAATGAATTATTAAAGATAGAATATAGGAGTACGAACTTTTTTCAGTAATGTTATATGCTTAGTGAAAATCGTTAATTTCTATCTTAATGATATAGGATTATTATTATTGGATTAGTCAATTTTCAACGATTCTTATTAGTAGTATGTTGTTATAAAATTATTTTAATTTGATTTTTCTTTAATCTTTTATTTTTACATCAATTATTAATTTAGTTGGTTATATATATATATGTCTTTACAGTACGATTTAAATTTATGAAAAATAGTAATTAAAGATTTATCAAACTTCGTCTTAATCAATATTAAGTGTTAAAATGTGCATAATTTTAATTGAATTTACTATTCTAGAATACTTGTTAAAAAATGTAGGTGTTGTGAGGTTGTACAATATAAAGGTTAAGCTGCTTTGAATAGTTTTATGTAAATTTTTGTTAAAGAGATTTATAATATATACAATGCTTTAATAATATACATTAAATAAAATTTCATGTTTTTTTGATAGACAAAAACTAAGAAGGAGTTATTAAATCATGCAGTGCTTATTAAATATTCAGGTACTTTTTATTATCAATGCAATAAGTGTAACATTCATCCTGGCACACAATTGCTTTTTGAATAATAAAGATTATAGATGTAGATTGGGAACAAAAACACCATATAGATTTATATCATATCAGGATGATTCTCCTCCTGAATACTTAGGTAATATTTATTCTTTTATAAAGAACTAAATTTTATTTTCCTTTCTATTTAATATAAACAAAAAACTTTTTATTAATGTTAATTACAGGTTGTATTCCAGAAAAGATATGGTTAATTTTAAGACATGGTACAAGGTATCCTGGAAGGAAATATATATCATCCATAATTGAAAAATTGCCAGAGTTACAAAAAATTATTCTCTATAATTATGAAGGAAACAAAACACAATTTACAGAAGAAGATGCAGCTTTATTCAAACAATGGAAAATTACTTTCAACAAAGATGATGTTATGAACTTAACAGAAGAAGGTGAACTTGAAATGATTGATCTTGCGGAAAGATATCAATCCAGATTCCCCACTATTATGTCAGAGATCTATAATAATCAAATTTACAAGGTAAAGAAAAATAAATATTTTATTTTCAACATATTTTCTTATTATATTTATTAAATAAAAATATTAACTTTTAGTTTAAGTACACTGCTACTCAACGTACAGAGGAAAGTGCTAAGTACTTTGCTACTGGTTTATTTGGAAGATACAATAGTTATCAAGTTCAATATCCACAAGCAGAACATAAGGATCCTGTGTTAAGAGTAATTTACAATCAAATAATTTAATAGTTCCATAATTTTCTGTTATTTGATCATTTTGTTTTAAGTTTATAGTTTTATAAACATTGTCAACGTTGGCGTTCTGAAGTAGATAAAAATTTGAATTCACAAATAGAAAAACAAAAATTCTTAAAAAGTGAAATTTATAAGAAGATGTTAGCAAATGTTTCTATACGTACTGGTTATCAGGTTGACTATGGTAAGTAATACATGTAATAATTCCAAAATGTAAAGATGGTAGGAAAAACAGATTAAATGTATTAAATATTTACATTTCAGAAAATGTATATTTGATGTATTTGATGTGTGGATTTGAAACTGCATGGGAAAGAAATTTTGATTCACCATGGTGTAAAATATTTTCACTACACGACTTCAAAGTAAGTTTTTTGAAATTAAAGTACTTATTAAAAAATGTTGAAACTAATTAATATCTTTTAGGTACTCGAATTTGCTGACGATTTAAAATATTATTGGAATGATGGGTATGGCTATAAATTATCTTATGAACAAGCTTGTCCTGCTTTGAGAGATGTCTTTAATTTTTTTGCGTAAGAATATATTTTTTCTTATTAAAATTTATTCATATCAAACACTACATTATTAAAGTTTTATCTCTAATTTATAGATTAGTTGATGGACCATTGGTGTCGGCATATTTTACTCATTCAGGCACTATTTTGAAATTATTGGCTTTATTAGGGGTTGCTAAAGATGATCAACATTTAACACACGATTTATTTTCATTATACGTAGAAGACAGAGCCTGGAGAACTGGAATTATCGATACTTTTGCATCAAATATTGCATTTGTTTTATATAAGTAATTATTTATTTATATGTATTACATATAATATAAGTATCATACAATTCTAATGTTCTTTTGTGTATTTTAGCTGTACTGGAATTCCAAGCGTTCTTTTTATGCATCAGGAAAGACCATTATATTTATCAGGTTGTCCTATAAATGTGCCATGTCCACTGTCTATTATGAAGGCACTTTATCCTGACCAAGAAGAAGAGTGCCAATTTGAAGCTATGTGTTCGATAGAGGAATCATCATAAAATCTTACAAAATCTTGAATGATATAGTTTGTTATATATTTTTACTATTTATTGTATTTGAATAAAATAAAGTGTGTGAATCGAATGTTTTATTTTCGTATTTTATTGGCGCATTAATTTATTGTATTTTATAAACAATGTTTAAAAATACAGAAGTACAATTTTGTTATAAAATATTGGAAAATTGACAGCAGATTTTTCTGTCCACTGCAAAGAATTTATGAATCATATGCACACATTATAAAAACAATAAGATTGGGCATGTTTACGTAACATTTCCGTTCATATTTTACTTTCAAGTTTCGCACATATTAAGTATTTTAACCAAAAATCATGCCGGTTGTTATTACGAAATTACGACCACAGTAAAATAAATATTAATAACAAACTAATCAGCATCAAATTATGTACGGAAATTATATAGGAATATTGCTGACAGTTCCAATTTTAAGATGCAGCTATAAAAGTTCATGAATTAATTACAGAAACTTGGTGATTTGTTAATTTTCAACTGCCGAATTAATTTATTAGGAGGTATTAGAAGCACATAACCAGAATTAGTAACCTATTCAAATAAAATCAATAAAATTTTAAGCGACTTCGATCAACACCATGTATGATTTTGGACTCAAAGTTCAAGAAAGTAACAGGAACACAGAATGCGAGGAGGTACACATGAAAAATTAAGTGACAACGGTTAACGCCATCTCTGACTTTGGACTAAAAGTTTGTGTTCTAGTCACAAAGTCATAAATGGCGTTGATCGTTGTTGTTTAATTTTTCATTCGGCAGTGATGAATTAACGAATTATTCAATTTCTACGATTAATTTATGAACTTTTATAATTGCATCCTGAAGGCGCATCCTTAAAGAACTTTCCAGCCTAGCTTTGGAAATAAATTTTTCCTTAATTAATTAATTATTAATAATTATCGCACGGAATGTTTGAACTGTTGCCGAAGATACCAATAGTTTGTTATTGATTACTATCATTTAGGAAATTAATTTGTGAATATTCATGAACGCATCATAAATACCATACTCTTAGGCACATTCACATATTACTTCTGTTTACATTTTAGTTTTAGTTTTGTTCATAATTAAATATTTTCACTGACAATCATGCCGGCCATTGTTGCTAAATCACGAAAGCCAAGAAATAATTATTAATAACAAACTCATTAGTAACAAATTATATACAAAAAATATATAGGAATGTTCGCTACAGTTCCAGCTTTACGATGCAACTACAAAAGTTTATAAATTAATCACAGAAACGTGGAAATATATGATTTTTCGCTTTCGTATCCTCTCTATTCTTTTCTAATCGCTTGCTGTCCTTGTCTATCACGTGTCGAGGTTTAGTCAACCTCCACGTGTATTCTATGTTCCTGTTACTTTTCTGAGCTTCGGGTCCAAAATAATAGATGGCGCTGATCGAATGACGCTCGATTTTTCATTCTTGTCTATCTTATTGAGGGAATCAGTGCGGTATCAACGGGTTACATTAGGGGCATATTGAGTTTATTTATTAACAGGATTCGTATTATATATCATATTTTGCTGCAAATTTCAAACGATAATTTTTTTTTAATTCTTTGCCTTTTATTGTAATAACATAAAAGGATATACAGTAATTATATGTAAACAATATTTATTATTAATTTCAAGAGTGTCTTCAATAATAATACCTTAAGTATTATTAATTAGTAATTAATATATTATTGGTTTTCTAGAATTTGGACAGTAAAAAATCACAAACAAAGACTGAAACAATGAATAAATAATATTGTTATAAATACAAAAAACAGATATATATACATACTTATGTTGTTTCACTATAAAGTTATAACGAATTGTATTTTTTTTCGTAGCTTGTTATATATTAGCTCGATTCCACTTGGTACTCGGATTACGCGTAGTTACGGCACTGATCAGGCTACAGAACCGAGCAATGGCTGCATGGCGGTAAAACATCCTATACACGTTGCCGACGAATATTTTCTTCTTCAAAGAAGCTAACAGAATACCATGCCGTATAGCAAATTCGTGCTGGATAAAGAACTTGCTGCAAAAATGTAAGAATGATGCGTAGAAAGTACGCTTGGCGACTTATTTTTGAATTTCGACGATAATTATGGATATCGATAAACTCGACAAACTCTCACTTAACTATTAAGGTAAGACAGAACTTCCCAACATTTTAATTTTCGTGTCATTCAAATTTTCGAAATTTCTTCGTGTGCCATTTGTCAAAAGAAAATGCATGAAAGAACAACGAAATAATTGGAATGGTGATAATTCTTTATATGGTTTATTTTTTACAGCGTACTATAGACACGGATAATTTGGTAGCTTTATCGCATAATACCAGGACAGTATCCTTCCATTTCCGTACCCGCCCCTACCATGTTTTGGGCATCGAATCGTGGCACGTACGCGGGTATAAATCTGACAGTCGTAGGAATCTATGAACAAAAGTGGAGCCACTTACATGCGCGTAAAGCAAAATTTATGGAGGGTGTGGGTATATAAATGTGCGACGTATCATAAATTTTGCTGTTGGACGTGGTCGGAGCGAGACAATGAATGGGAAACATAGAAAGAGAGAAAAAGACGGATGAAAGAGAAAGAGAAGATTTCCCTTAGTTCTCGAAGGTACTAACGATATTGTCCGGGGCATTCGTGGGTACCACGTTCGTCTTCCGCGAATTCTCAAGAGGAAACAACAATTTATTTTGACGGGGCCACAGAAATACCCAAAGGACTAGTCGCAAATCACTGACTACGCGTTGCTCCGCGTAGAGTTGGAATTTCTCTGTCTTCTTCGTCTATTTCCCAGCAATCTCGTTTTACTTCTATCTGCTTGTCACACATTCTCTTTCCATTTATTTCTCAATTTTTCTTGCTTTTCTGTCACCATTTCTTGCTACGTTTGACAAATCTAGGTTAAGTATTATATCCAACTATTAGTCGGTTTTTCCTGCATCTGAATTAATGGGACATAGAAATGATTGCTTTAATATTTCTTCCAGCACATATTGCGTTGTCTTCGTATTTATCGCACGCTATTAAAGTGACAGATAAACTGCCTGGAATTAGAAGAATGACTATGACCATTGCTCCCATCTAACGAATAAGATCGAAATTGACCTGTAGTACCACTTTACCGACAATGTTAATCGGCTTTATATCCCCGACGTTCTACTTTCACTGATCGGTAAAGTAGAATTATACAGTACCATTAGATAAAGTATCTGCGTATCAGCATCGATTCAGAGATTATATAAATTATTCGATTTCTCGGTAAAAGGAAGAGATGGAGAATTATTAAATGTCTAGATTTTTAAATGTTTGAATTTTTTATAGGAACCACAAAAAAGAAAAAGGAAAAAAATTATCGACCGTGATAATTAGAGGTATCATACATCAAGATTACGAAGATCGTGCGTTATCCCTGTCGTGATTCACGACGGGAGAAAGAGAAGCGACGTTCGTAACAGTCTGGCGAAAAATTAAGCGGTGAAACGTTCCGTTTCGCACCGTGTAGACCTGAAACGTTCGCATAACTTTTGATCAACGTATGCAACACAAGCGATGATCGTGGGACGCAAATGGAAATGTTGCCTCTGAATTTTATACACCGACGCTGCGAAAGAAGAGAGTCCGGGAAAAATGGCCGCGGGGGCTCCAAACGACCCCGAGATTATAATAATTCACGTCACTGAGTCCAATTTCAATTTACCTCTGGCCGGACAGAGTTGCATCGTTAACCGGACGCTGTGTGTCCAGGGATCAGCGTTTTTCCGGCGTTATAAGGAGCTGATGCCGATCAGATTTCCCCACGCAGAAACGGAAGTCGCTGTAAGGGGATACGGAGTTTGAATTATCCCATCATTCTCCACTCTTCTATTCTTTTCTCATCTGATATGCTTAGAAATTTTTACATAGTTCATGGTTAACCCATTATACTACAATGACAAGACTAACTTGTCACCGATTCTTCATGTCAAATCTTATGATTATAACTAACCACGTGACTAATATTATATTTCGCACAGAATTCGAAGAATTTCTAAATAAATAAATTCCAATCAATCTGATTTTGATTTTACTAAAATATAAAATTATTTCAGTGACCTTAAAGCGACCTTCATATATTTTTATTGTCTGTTGATCCTTGTCACGCTTGCGTAATAATTTTATACCTGACATTGAAAGTGTTGGGCTGAAGGTCACCGATAGCTATGCAAGAAATGACCTCTAGGTTGAAATATAGATAGGAATGAAATATATCGGAAGGGACTCTAGGGGCAGCTGTCTAGCTACGATTTCGCATTCGACAGGCTAAAAGATTCACTTGCAACGCAGCAGACCGTTCCCTTCCGGTGGTTACCGGTTAAACGAGAAAGTCGCGCGCTTGCGGTTGAATTTTCGAGTGATATTTTCGTGTCGCCCGAAGGGTCGTCTGGACGAGAGGGAAACGCCGATATATTGAACATTTTTTGCGCTCGTACGTACATACTCATACATCATTTTTCAAAGGAAGAATCAACTCTCCGGAGATACCTTTTTTAAATTGATCGCGTCCAGTTTATCATCGCGAAAGCTCGATGCTCCGAAGAAAATCAAATTTTGTGCTTTACTTTAAATTTCGAGTTCAATGTGGTTTCGTGTAACAGCGCATAGCAAATTTTATGAAATCGAACGAAAATAAATTCGAAACTGCGGTGACCGCTCCTCACTCGACACCCGAGGGATGCTCATCGATCAATGCTTTTGCGAAAGTAAGTACTGTGCGTTATCGCGTAACAGCGCATAGTAAATTTTATGAAATCGAACGAAAATAAATTCGAAACTGCGGTGACCACCCCTCACTCGACACCCGAGGGATGCTCATCGATCAATGCTTTTGCGAAAGTAAGTACTGTGCGTTCGAGAAAAGAAGGCATAGCGTGTTTACATCCTCACCTTCTTTTCTCGAACGCACAGTACTCGCTTAACCATCTGTTTATACAAATATGACGTTCCAGACAAGTATCTCGTATAATATAATTTCACTTAACAGTGTAAACCAGGTCCTAAGACTTTCTCTTCCCTTCTGATTACCTTCCTATCTTCTAATATATGTTATAGCAGTACAAAAATAAAACAGAGCTTTCTTGTGTACCAGAGCAGTGAAATAAAATTATCTACAAATAACAATGTGTTATTTCAGTTTATAATCCTCAACTATAATTGTTCAAGGTGGAAGAACATTCGGAAACACTTCCATCTCAAACTATGTACATATAGTATATATATAGGGTGTTCCAGAATTCACAAAGGATTTGAATTTTCACCATTTGTGTGATAAAGTGTTGCTCACGAAAAAAAGACAAAAATAGCGTGACAGTTGACAGTTCGGAGTTATCAAAACAGGAACGCTACATGGAATAACAATGCGTCTTCATTGTTGAGCAATATTTACAATTATTAATTAAAAATCTGTGTCTTCTGTCGTTCTTTGCGTGAATTTTGGGACACCAAATAGATCGTTCTATCAAAGCTGCTTTAAAATAGAGCCTTTCACCTATCTCGATGTACTTGTTTATCACTCTAAACAAGCTTAAACAACTCAACAACGGGGTTATACGAGTATTGATCTTCCACGGGGATCTATCCTCTAAAATGGCTGAATGTCGGCTCAGAGGCGGTTTAGCCTAGCCCTTCGGAGTAAATGTTTCCCATTAGGCTGCGGCGGGCAAACGACGAAAGGAGGAAATCCTGCAACGATAAACTACCTCGGCAGGATGAACTGGCTTGCTCACGATGCAGTTTAATGTTCGACGTCGCTACGTTGCAGCGACGCATTGCTAAACTCCATGTACTAAAGCGTGACGCGCGTTCTACATTAGCCCGGCGTCCGTCCTTCCGTGTCGCGAAGGATTCCGTCTGGTTTTTACGACACCCTGCCTTCTCGTAAAATTCTGCATCCGTTATGGACACTGCGCGGATGTGTACTTTCATAAATATTCGCCATAAGCGTTCGAACGTACTTACGTTCCCGCGGTGAACGTGGATGGAATTGATCAGCGAGGGTGTTCGAGTCTAGATATATTTCCCTTCTTCATCTTTAACGCCCACTCGCGTAACGCCACGTTGCTAAACCCTCTCGATACTACTGTTGCTTAAAGTTACTCAGTGATCAAAGGCAAAGATGCACCGTGGTTGTACGCTAAAATGAAGCAACGCATTCTGGTCTCGTAGGTATCATAGGGGTCAAGGCTGACGTGTCGTGACTGAACAGATATAATGGCTGAACGAGTAGAGTCGAGACTCGTAATCGGGTGGGTCCAGGTACGATTTTTCTTCGAATATTTTAACACGAATAACAGCGTAGAAGTCTAAAAATTCGAGTTTCAAAATTCATTGAATTTGCAAGGGAGTACTGGCTGTGTACATTTCGAGTTCCCTGTGCTCCCTCATTGTAGGGAGGAGAAGATTACTGTGTGGGGGTTTCAGTGAGTAAAAGTTCCACAGAACCCCATCCCCTTCCCCTAAGGGACTGGAGTATCTTCGGGAGATTTCCCACATGTAAAGAAAGAAAAGGAATAGGGTGTCGTGACTTAACGTTTAGTATTCACCGGGATGGCTGCGTTTAATCATTATAGGAGACATGGATGGTAGTGCAGCGACCACCCTACTACAATCACCACCAAAGGAATTCGAAAGAATCTGAGGTTTCTCGAAAGAGTATTCATTGACAGTGAACCTCTACTTTCTCCTGGCTTGCTACTAAAATATCCTACATCTAATGCACGGGCCTGTTAGAGTAGCCTGACTTGATCAGTCTCATAGGACTGATGTAGACAGAAACGCCTCCCATTCTCTTCTTCTTCTTTCCTTCTCTCACGCATTCACTCCTCGTTCTACACCGCCGTCACAGTAGTATTAACGCGTAAAAACCCAGCCCACGATTCCCAGAGTGATTTCCGCGGCGCGGCAATCAGTTTAATGATCTCGCGGTGCGCCATTAACAAAGCGTTCTGAAGGGCCGGCTTCCTTGGCGAACCAACGTCCTCGATGCGACACGTCGTACGAGCCCTTTTCAACGCGTCGACCCTTTATGAAGTTCCCCTCGGCCCTGTTACACGCCCAGACACAGTCGTGGGATAGTCGATGGTGCAAGACAGGCGAACGCTTCACGGTATGAATGTTCTGATCGAACAGTCTCCTATTCCCCTAACGACTATCGGCTACTGATAATGTGAACGTAAGATGTGCGAAATGGTAGGAAGTTGCGAAAATGGACTTTTCTGCGTTTAAGTCTAACTAGTCTTGCTTAAGAAGTCCTGTTCTGATCACTAGATGTGCGGAATCTTTAAAGATCCGTACAATCCTATTTACTGTTCTTTGATATCAAAGTGATCGACTGAAATAATTCGTCATCTATTCATTACGCAGAGCGGAGGAAATTATGATAATAATAGAGAGATGGCTGGGGAGCCACGAAAAATATATATACTCGAACAGTATCGCTAATAATTAATTAATGGTACATTTCATATATAACAAATACGCAAAGGCTAACTCTACTCGCTAACACTGTCTCTCAAACTCTCTTACAACTCTCTGATATTCTGTTATGACACTCAATCTGACACACTGACAACAACTGACTCGCTCGCATCCTTGCACCCTTATTTAATTCTCTATACTCCGTCTTCTTTCATACTCAAGATCTCCTCCTGGATCACGCATTTCTCACGCAACCTTGTCCTCCATGAGCCAGGTACTTCAAATATTCAAGATGTATTTCTAAACTTTCGATCCTTGATTGCACTCGACTCTGTTACAAATATCCCTCACAATCGATCCTCTTGCTCGCGGTAACTTTCGTCCTATGTCGCAAACACTCTTAGCATTCTCTCAGGGCCGCACTCGTTTCATTCCTACAATTGTATAAAAGAAGTGTTTCAAATACTGAATTGTCATTTCCGTTTTGACTAGCCAGGTTTAAGAAAGCGGCCTATCTAAGATAGCTGAAACATACCTGATACATTTTCACCCTCGCTATCCTGATCTCCTGTTAGGTAGATACTACCACTGTTCCACGGATTCCGCTGTAGAACCAAAAGCTCTGACTGCCACCTTTGACCTGGAACAGAAAGTAGAAACCGCGTGATAACAAATCGCGAAATAATAAGTCAAATTTATCAAAACGGCGAACCCTATATCCCGAAACCGTGCACCACCATCGATGATACCCGATTCTCAACTCCACCAAAATGTATAACATTTCCCGACTCCGTTTTCGAGATGCTTGCTACGAATTCGTCGCGCATCGCGAGACCAGTGTCGACTTAATCCACGAACGAAGCATCTCACCGTTTTCAGCAACCACGACAACCCGAAATTCAGATTCCGCGCGAAGATGGGACGACCACCGTTTCGAAATTTCATCCTTGCACCACAGCTGTAGGATTTCTATTTTCTTGTCCCGTGGAAGCTCGCGAAAGCTGTCAGGCTTGGGCGATTTCGCATAGAGGAGCTTGAACACCCCTGGCATCGAATTTCCCGGGAAAGAGAGAGAAAGAAAAGGAACAGAAGACAGGTTTCTCTCAGCATGGCCTCGTCGTGTCCAGGATAACAGGACAACCCTGGTCCCTCTTCCGGAAGGATGATACTCACCATGATGCCTAGTTCTTGGCTAGTTCGATGAAACTGACCGAGATACGCAGAAGTTGACACGACTCTGAAAGGAAATACCTCTTTTAGGAATATATAGGGATATTTAAGGGTATTTATAGGGGAAACGTTTGAGATTCGTGGAGGTCTCATTTGGAAAATTCGGTGGAGACAGTAACGGATGTTAAAGTGGGTGTGGCGACTAGTCACAGGTTCACCGCGAAGTTAGGGGGATTTAACGAGGTTCGAGGTTTCTCATAAGTGGTTGGTGAACCTTCCGCTTTCAAATAAATATAGGTTTCCGACGTGTCGATAGTATTCCCATGTCAGAGGCACGGGCCTGCTAGGTAGGCTTACCGAAGAGACTCTGCTAGCAGGCCCAGGATGGAAACGCATCCCTTCTTCACTCGCTCATCGATCAAAAGGGATGCCAAGGGTTTTCATATTATCGTCAAAGATGTCATATTATTGTAAAGGTTATCTGTCTCGCATAAGGACAACGTGACGACGTAGTTTCAGAATAGATACTCATTCTTAGATATAGAATATATAGAGGCCCCCTCAGTGTGCAAAAGATCGGACGCTAAAGTGGGCACTACTACTGCAGTTCAAGAGGTTCGATACACAAGATCGAAAGGTATCGGTGTGTCGGGTAACTAACGCGTAATCCGATTGGAGGATTAGCGGAAAGAAAGAACGGGAAGTACGATGGTGACACGATTCCCCATAAGCCGAGGCGCGACCATGCGTAAACGTCATTCGAGCCGTGGGCTGAGAAGCGTGTTTAACTCCGTCCAGCCGTGTAATCGGATTGACTCGATGCACGTGCGATGCATTATGAATCCGAGGAGCCGATAGCTTGTCTAGAACGTCTTCGACGGCGCGGGACGTCATTGCAGTGCCGAGCAAATTCGGTTAAATTCCCAAAAACTTGGAAATTAGTGGAGTAACCTTAGGTTTCGAAGGACAGGGTGTACAGGTAACCGAGATTTCCAGTGTTTCTTGCGGAACATTCGCGAAACCGAATTTCGAGAATTTTTGGGGAAATGTTGAAATTCTGGGAACTGATTGGCGCGTGTTTATGGATCTAGGAACTTTTTATAATCACAAATACCGTGCTTTTTGGCCAGAGGAAAATACTCGAGGCAGATAATACGGAGTCTAGACAATTTAATGGAATGTCTAAGTGGGTCGCCTTAATCCGGTTTTAAAATGTCACTAGTATATACCTAGTTAACACTAGAACTACTAAACCCGTGAAAACGACGTGTGATTTTTTATTTTTGAAATTGGGAAAACTATACAGGTGTTTATGAGAGAATTTCTGGTGACTTTTATTGAGATTCAAGCATTATCGCGTACACTCGTTTATTTCTAGTATTTCATTCGAATCATAATCGTGTATGTATGGTTTATTTAAACACAAGTTTAAGATTGGTAGTTCTAGTGTTAAAAGAGTAAATAAAAGTAAATCGTGTTAATCGATTGGACTTTTCGTATCGAGTCGTAGATAATAGCAAATGGTTGTGTGGCGATTATATAATAACACATAAAGGTAAAAAAAATAATTCCAAAGAAAACGAAACGTCTGTGATGAATTAAAAAAATCATGCTAACGAGAAAGAATGAAACGATTGAAAAATTAATTTATTAGAAAGCATTACTCGTGTAAAACATAGCCGATCAGAGACAGCGTGATCGATATGTATTAAAATTTTTAAAAATTGCAATTTATTCTGGAAATTGTTCACGTATGTTAATATCAGATGACGAAATAAATAAGGTCTTTCTTCGAAACGTGAACGAGAATACGAAAACGACGTTATTTATTTCGTCATTTGATATACGATCGTACGGTAATACGAAAATATAGACAAATATTTGAGAGAAATCGAAAAATGGTAACGCGCCGGCTGCCGGGAAATATAATTCGCGTTTCGTAGTAGAATACGAGTAATCGACTTTTAATTAAATTTTTCAAATAGTGATTCATTTTCGGACCGTCGTTTACGCTCGGTTGTTCTAAAAGCGGCTGCAGCCGGAAATCCGCGTTGCAGCCGGAAATTCCGACGCGGGAGCTTTCAATAACGCGATTATATAAAAGACAGAAAAAAATCTGGATAACGAAAGGAATGTTTTTAATGAAAGTACCGATCGTTTCGCGGAAAGCGCACAAGCCCGACGACCAGCGCGCGAAATTTCGTTTCGCCGAAAAATTTGTTATTAACAAAATGTATTTTCCGTTCGAATTCTTCGAACGACAAGTTGGATTTTTCCTTTTTCCCTTCCTTTTTTTTTTTTTTTTTTTTTTTTACGCGAGAAAAGAGAAGAGAGGGGGAGAAAAACGCGTTCGATCAATGACGCAGGCGAAAAATACACGTCGACAGCGGATACATGTAGAACGAATGAAAAATTGGCCGAGCAATCATCGAGCTGTACCACTGCGACAGTCGAGAAAATTTTTTCGCCAAATTTCGGCCGGATCTTGAGCTCCTCTGTCGTTGAAAATGGAGGCCGGTGCGGGAAGGAACGCGTTACAGGAAAATTACGTAGTAAATAGGAAAGAGGAGAGAGAGAGGAGAGGAGGAGCGTGGAAGTTCGTTTAATTAGAAACGAGGCTACGTGGAAAACGCGGGTACAGGGATGGAAGTATCCTGAATACATAATCAACTTGTGTTTCTACTTCGGGCCACTGGCTTTCTCGTTGACGAGGTAACGTGGTCAACGAACGGCCTAAGGAACTTGATAATACAAAGTACCATGATGGAAGTTTGCAAGAAAAATGATTATCCAAAGACTATGGAGGCAGACTATGGAGCTGTGCCGTTAAGGGAATAGCGAGCTTTCGAAGTTAAAATCGAAGCGAATTGAAAATTACACAGCAGAGTGTCGAATCGCGTCACGGTTGATCGTTGTATCAAATAAAATTACATGTGTGAAATTAAGTAGAAAAAGATTGGAGAATTTGATTTTCGAAAACGGAAGTACACGGAGAGCTATGTCGAAATCGAATGACTATATCATGTACGAGTGCAGGAAGACGAAATTTTTAAAAAGGGAAAATTCGAGGGGGTAGTTTTTGTCATGAAGTCTTCAGTTGAGGACCGAATACGTATATAGTTGCTTTTGACGAAATTAATACTGATTTTTATTCACGCAGAAGCGTAATTATACGTAGGGTGGCACCATCGAGCATAAATTGATTCAACATCTAAAAATAAGTCGGAAAGGAAGAATAAAATTTTTTCGTTAGAAAATACTGTAAGCTTGAGGACCCTAAATGGGCAAGAGAAAAATACGATACTGCAGTAATTTAGACGAAAATTAGAGAAAGCAAGGGACGATCCTTTAACACGAAACGTACCAAGTGGGGTGAAATGACTCCTTTCAAAATTTACTTTATAAATTGTACATTCATTGTTATTTCTTTCGCTCCTCTGACGTTCTGTAAATTCTCATATTACCTGACTGTTCAATTTCTCGCTTTCCGTTTCACCCTATATTGTAAGAATAGGTGCGTGTAAAATACCGGTACGCTTAATGTTAAAGAAGGCAGTGTCGTGTCAAGCTTAGTAGTGACAGGTCGAAAGAAGGCGCGAGAACAATTGTTTAAAATTGTCTTGAGTCATCTTTTCTTTTTATTTCTATCATTGTTTAACCAATCAGTTCTATGTAAAATCTTACTTAAATAACATATATAATTACTACGATACATAGCGAAAATACGCTGCCAAATCTTGCCACAGACTTCGCGAGTAAATAGATAAACTAATAAGAATATTTATTGAACAGAATAACACCACAACATAAATTATAACTAAATCTCGTAAAATAAATTCGCTTCTAACTGCGATATAATCTCTCGAGGACTCTCTCACACACAATATCTATTTGTAATGACTGTCATTCACCTACTGATTGTTTTTTCGCGACTCTCTGTTCACACAAACATTCCTCACACTCATACCGCGCATTCTATGACAACCACTACCACCACAGACTTATCGTCGCTCGTTCTTCGACAAATGCGACTTCCTTCTCGATAATCGACGCGACAAATCCACGAACGATCCTCGCTCGGACCCAGACGAGTCCGTTAAAAACAGCACTCGAGACGTAATATCGTCGATCATCGCGATCGTCGTTCGTTCAACGTCCATCCTTTCGTCACTTCCTCTTCCCATTTGCCGGGACCGCCCCTGCGGTAGCCGGCCATTCGGCGAACAATCGGCGAGAGCAAACGACTCGCGGTGTGTCGAGGCTTTTTTGCAGAACGTAGTCGTTTCGCGAACATAGCAGCGCGGGACGCACGATTTAACCCCGCCACGGAACCACCCCCACAGCCATTATATCCGCGGCACCCGTAAATCCGTTTTTATGGGCTTTCGATACCGTATCCCGCGAAATCAATAATCGTCCATAAAGCGGTACCTTACTCGGCCGGCATACGTTTCCGTATTCTCTCGCTTA